TTATCAAGCTATTCCTCAAACAAGTGAAAAACAATGAAGCCAAAAAGAACGATGAGGAGTGTCACTCACAAGCGAATCAAACATCCTTTTTGTTTTAGGGCGCGTAGTGGTAGGGAACAAGTGTGAAAAACAAGAGTGAGTAAAGAAGGAGAAAGAGGGTATATAGAAGCAGCGACAGGACACGTGGCACTTGGAACTGAAGCCCACCTCCATTTTAATTACACAGTTAAACTGTTGCTAGTCAAGAAACTCGTAATCTTTGGCAGAAAGAAAAAAAGAAACTCGTAATCTTTCCTAAAGACAAAGCTAAAGGAATTGAATATTGTGGCTCTCTCTCTCAACCAAAGATGCATTAGATTATATAGTAGTAGCACTGTAGCCCATACATGCGTACCAATCAGAGAATGCCAACGCCACCCGTTCTGCAAGCATCGGCTTATTCAACAAGAAAGGAAGGGAACACGTGAACTGTATAATAAATAAGTATAGAATGGACTCGGGGCTTGCATTTGTATTATCAGAGCCTGTGAGTTGCTGATCTTTATTTGTTAATCTTCAAAATATCTGCCACCTGATTAACCCAACATGGTTTCTTTGATGACCAAAACATTAACAATATCAAAATATCAGCAATAAATTTGATATCATATTTTGACCCAGTTCTTAAAATTTCGTACAAAAAACGACAGATTTTATTTTATCCGAATGGCTTCATATAATATACATAAAATCAACAGTGGACTTAATGCACAACAGGCAGGCGTAAGAGAATACAACAACACGAAGAGAAATTAATTTCAAATAAATTAAAGCATCGGCATTCTTATTCTTAATTACTTGAAAAATAACTCGAACGCAGCATCAGACCAAAGTAAAAGCTAAGCTTAACGAATAATGATTATTCCAATGGTGTGGCTCTGTCCCTATCAAAGAAGACGCCGGTGGGACCTGTAGAAGGCAGAAGAGCTAATCTCAGGAGATGTTCAGCAGCTTCATCAACAGTTGAGAATCCATAGTTCTGAGTCATATCAGTCTTCACAAATCCTGGAGACACCGAGTTAACTCGGAAACTCGGGTACTTCTTGGAGATTAATCTTGTGTACACATTAAGGGCTGTCTTGGCCACTGTATTGGCAGGCGTCATGGTTGGCCATCCTTTCTCATTCCATGTTCCTTCTTCATAGTCCTTGATGAACTCACTCACCACCCCATCAAGTTTTTCTCTTGTAAGACTCTCCAAGTCACTTAGTACCTTTCTGGCACGTTCATTTCTTATGAGCTGCACATCAACAAGAAGTCGTACAATTCATAAGTCATAAACAAAATATTAAAATTAAAACTGGAGAGTGCATTTAAGTACCTTGATGAGTCCAGCAAGAGAGGTGACATTGAGAATGGTGGGACAATTGGATAATTGAAGCAGAGGAAGGAGGGCTTCAGTCACTCCAACAGCACCAAAGTAATTAGTTTCAACACATTGCTTTGACATCTCCACATTGCATTTTACTATTTCATCCCAATCTATGTTCTCCCCACTAACCTGTAACACCTCATTCACATTACACTCCTAATCATTTCCATGTATCAATTACCAAAAAGGAAAGTTATTATCAAAGTATATTTTTCAAAGATTTACTCTTGAATCTTAAAGGAAAAGTTCCTGCAAAGTATTCCTAAAGGGCGGCATGTCTTGTAAATGACTGTAGTTTGCGTTTTTATGTCAAGTGATGAGCTTACTTTTTTGAACAAAGCTTCGCCGTTCACTGTTCCTGGAGAGACACCTGCATTGTTTACCTGCACCAAAATATGCCAAGCATGGATTTATATAATAAATTAAATTATTCAAATATATTATCGGAACATAACATTAGACTATACCAAGATGTCAAGTTTGCCAAAGGTGGTGGTGATGAAATGAGTTAAGGAAGCAATGCTTGAAGGATCAGTGACATCAAGCTGATGAAACACCAGAGAGTCTGACGACACACCAAACTGTTTGAGCTTCTCAACTGCTCCCAGCCCTCTCTTCTCATCTCTTGCTGTGAGCACCACCGTCACCCCTCTTGCTGCCAACTTCTTGCATATTCCATACCCAAGCCCCTTGTTGGCTCCTGTCACAACGGCAACCTAAAACAAAGTTCTACTTCTGAGACGTGATGTTGCATTCATAATACATACTTGAATATATATATATATATATATATATATATATATATGATCAGTCATTTTGAATACCAAATGCTAAGTCATATTAAAGGAAGCTAATCAAGTACCTTTTTGCTTCTTCTCCCTTCTCCCATAATTGATCAGGCTTTTGGTTTCTAGCTTCTTCTTACAATGAGGCTACTGCTACAACTTGGCTTCCTTTTTACTTTCTTTGTAATTTGACGGTACATAAGCACACATATATACTTCGTCTGCCCGTTTATATTATACGTCCAATACGTACAATCATTGAATTTTCAATCATTATACAGTGCCCCAATTGTCTTCATCATTCACAACTTGAGAAAATATTGAAGGTCATGAAGAGAACAAAAGCTGATTGCTACCTTTTGAATTATGCGTCAGATGAAGAATAAATTAGGCATATTATTGTACAGCTCTTGTTTCATCATTTCAAGGACCACACGAGTAGCTTCTTTTTAGACATATCGATCATTGATAAGATTCCTTTTTCTCTGTCTTAAAAAAAAAAAAAAAATTCCCTTATTTTCCCTCTCATGTCAACAACCACTTGATTAATTATATTATCTTTTTCGATGAATTTGGCGAATATCTGGCTATGCCATTTCATATAGACCATCAAATTTAATATAACTTGTCTTATCCCGTTATTTCTTTCTTATTCTTTATTTCTCTCTTTGGTCATAGCTTATAATCCAATTGAGTTTGGGACCACTCAGACCAATACAAACCCTTCACTTTCCATGTCTGTGAGTTGTCTCTTATGTGATAATCGATTAAGAACTAATATCATTTGAAAGCAGAAGTGAGCAGTAATTCATAGGCTGTAAAGTAATTTTAGTAACAATAATCCTAAGTTGTTTCTCTATTATATTCACTAAATTACTGTAAGCTTTTGCTCTTGTCGTTATGTCATTCATATCAGGCGAGAAGTCTGACAATTTATACTGAATCAGATTTTGAACCAAATTCTCGTAAGAACACTTGGGGCTTTATTAGTCGCTACAACCTGAGAATTTTTGCTGAATACTCAATAGCTCTTCCTTGTTATAATTGGTAAATGGGAACATCCTCAATCCATTGCGGACTATGGATCTACAAGTCTGTAGTTCATAATTAAAAGCATTTCAAAAGTTGCGTGCAATTGACTTAAAGCGTGTTCTTCCTCATTATATCGCCCCTAATCAAATTTCATTTCTACAAGCGAGAGAGCCAACACAAATTGTTAGGAACTACAAATTGGTGGGGACAAACTGGAACCACTGGCTTCTGGGATCGTCCAAACAAGTAGGATCATCTAGTATACAGATGCATCTTCTTGTCACAATTGTTGAAGAGTTTGCGTCCTGGTGCAGGCACAATTGCTTGCCATGCTGGTCCACCGTAGCCAAGTGAAGCTTTGAGAGTGACGCAGACTTCCAAGAACTACTCTGCTTGCTCTGGCAATTATTACCATCAGACACGACAACAGGAAGCCCTTCACCTGATGCAGTTAGGCATTTGTTCGTACCACTTAAGAGAATCTGAGATCCATCTTCATGAACCCATCTCTCGATCTTGTTCTCACAACTTCCCACTTCAAGCTCATTCTTCTGGTTAACGTGGACACACTGGCCACTCAGTGGGTAGTACAAGATATTTGCAATAGGGAATTTGGAAGTTGGATCTGCATTATAATTAAGTATAGAGACAGATTAAATTGAATAAAAGATGGACCTGCACATCATTTGAATCAACTACCAATCAATATTGAATGGATGGTTAGTCCTACTTCCCTAAATCAAGAGGCATACCTTGATTCTTCCTTTGAAGGAGTTGGAAGAGTTGGGTGAAGTTTGGGAACCTCAGATTTTGCCAGGAGGCATCCATGACACCAAATGTCTCCTCAAGTTGAACCTGGTCTTCTCTCAGGTAATAGCCACCTTGCAAAGCCCAGAGGCCCCAATCCAGGTCTCTCCCAACAAGGTAGGTTTGAAGGCAAGTCAAGTACTTGTTGTCTGCTTCAGTAGAACCTTCTTGGTCGAACCCAAATTCTGTGAAAATCAAAGGAAAAGCATTGTCGCCACGAGTAAGGAACCCCGCTCTGTGGTCTATGCCGTTAATGGCTCTGGCACAAATTCTGTTCAATGGCTGCTTAGTCCAGATATCTTTCAGCTTTAGTGTTCCAATTCCAGACCATGAATACAAATGTGTCTCAAACACCAATTTCCTGCCCAAACCTAAGTGAAGAGGCCTTTTCTTTAGGAACTGAAGCTCAGTGTCGTAGTTGAGGCCTGAGACAACCACCAGCACATTTGGGTTCGCCCTGTGAACTGCTGTTGCTCCTTGGCTCATATAAATGTACCAATCACCCACGTATTGACGAGGACCATGGAGTTCATTCCTCAAGCTCATGGCCACCACCTGTTGGCCAATACCAATTTTAATACTTTTAACAACATGCCTAGTTGATGTTATTAAGATAATGATATGCACTTTATGCATTTACCCGTACTTCAATTTAATTTCGAATATTTGGATAAAAAAATTTAATTTCGAATAATTGCTGATCAAAAAATAATAATTTCAAATAACTTTTGGGCTCACTTATTAGAATAGAAAAATAAAATGGAATAGAAAATCTAATTAGATAAAAAAAATTATCATCTTGTAGATTAAAATTATTTCTGTTAATTTTCTTATTTTAAAATTATTTAAATGAAAATAAAATATAATTATAAGCCAAGATATATCAAATCATCGTTAACAGAAAATACTAATAATCCAAATGAAAATTAATATTTTGTATTTGAAGGATCCGAATTTAATATTTATATATGAAAAAAAATTTAATATTTATTTCTTAAGTTACTTACTAGCATAACTATCTAGTATCCAATGTCTAATGGTACTGTTATATTGTTTTCAAATTTTTATGCAAAGTAATATAAAAATGTTTTTTTTTTTTTTTGATTCAATTCATAGGAACAAGATACGTACGGCGGAATTCCCAGAAAAGCGTTGGGCTGCCAAGTGAGGCCCTTCACCCACTCGTTGGGATCGAAGTGCCTGTCATTGAAGAAGCCATTCTCGTCGTCATCGGCGCAGCACCATTTGGGATCGCTCACATGATTATCCAGCAACACCTTCACCTTCTGATTCCCAAGCTCCCGCACCACTTCTTCAAACGCCTCCACATGCGTCTTGTTCAGCACCCACGGATTGTTCTTCTTAATCCCTTCCACCGTCTCCGGAATGTCCAATTCCTCTAGGGTTTTTCCCGCATTGCGATCCATGTAGCGAGTCCACATGTAGATCGCGTACGTCAGACGCACGCAATTGAACTTGTACTTCACTATTTGAGCCACCATCTCCTTCAACGGCCGCTTGTCCAGACCTTCTGGAAGCATCGGCTGAAGGTGTCCCGCCCAGTTGCCGCACACTAGTTTGGCTCGTTCGCCATTGAAGTCGTCCGTGATCCATCGGCTTTGGGTTGAGAGGGGATAAGCATTGGAATGCTGAGATGTGAGGAGAGCAGAGAAAGCGACGAAGAAAAACAGAGCAGATCTTAATGTTCTTCCCACCATTGTTGCTCGATGACGATTCTCATGAACGTAATGGTATGTGTGCTTTAAATAGAGATTTTGGAATCTGAAATAACAAATTTTCCAAGTTTGGTTACAATTCTGATCGTAATCCACGTATGTTCCTTGTAGGATATGTATAATTGGAGATGGTTAATTATTCTAGGGATTCATTCCTCATTGTCTATCCCGATACATGCAGACTTCAGTAGTTTGGTTCATGGACCAACTAATAGGGGGAAGGAATTATGTGAGGAATATTATTTGCAAACTGAGATTGCAATGAAATTAAATTTTGTCAGTATGCCTCTGTTTCCAACTGATTAACCATATCGATGACCTGGTCTTTTTCCCAACTGAAACTTCATTGTATTACGGGCTGTGGAACTCCTCATCTCGTGATCTCCGAATACGGCGACCAAGTATGCCTTATTTACACTTTGAAGCCCGTTTTCACTTGTTAACCAAATCATTGACCAAGTACTTCGTTCTGTTTATACAGTTTATTGGCAGAAAGAGATAGAATTTTTTTTTTTAAATTCTTCTTAATATAAGTTATCTTATTAAACTTATTATATAAATGTTGAATTTTACCTTTAATTTTTTTTAAAAAATATTAAATGAGAATAACATTGAAAAGTTATTAAATTTTAAAACAGAATTAATTTTCATGAAATATGTTCAAGGTGTCTTGTAAGACAAAAGGAGCATGCCTGATTATGTGAACTGATAAGTTGTCTCTTGATGCTGAGTTCTTCTCCAAACTCATGGTGGGTTAGCATTACTTTTTAGAAAATAAAATCACGACTCAAAACTTCGACAGTGATATGCCTCAGCAAACGCTGGCCCAAAAAAAAAAACATAAACTAAACAGTGAATGTAAATTGGTAAATAAAAAAAATTGAATAATTCATATCAAAGCATTTTTAAGTATAATGTTATACTATAGCTTATAGTAGTATTTGCTACCAGCTAATTCTGAATTTAATGTTTAGTATGCTCCCTTTTTCTAAATATTTTAAAATACATCTTTCAAATTCAAGAGATATTCGAGACTTTCTTTCATTATCCCCGCACGTCTCATTGTCGCCGAAAAGATTTTTAAAATTTGTCAACGTTGAATCTCTGAAAAGATTTTAAAATTTGTCAACGTTGGCCCAAAGTGTTTTAGGTAAATAACAATAACAGTCAACAATGGTGATCTGAACTTTGAGATAATCTGATTAATGAAAGTTCAACTAATCTTTTCTAGTCATACATTAACCAACAAAAAGCAGAAGGGGACAAGTGTTGTGAGCACATCAAAGAGCAATTGCCAATGCTCATGACAGGTAATTTTGACATACTAAACAACCTTTCTATACATGTACGATGGAATGAAATAAAAAATAAAATAAGTGGAGTTTTGGATCATATTCTTTAACTACTATTGACAAATAACAATAAAGAGTTAATGCCATTTTTAATTCTTGAAATTTATTTCATTTTAGTTTTGATTCTTAAAATTTAATCTCATTTTGATTTTTGTCATTATTTCAAGGATAAAAAAATCTTTAAACTGATCAAAATAAAATCAAATTTTAAATGTTAAAATTAAAATGACGTCAAATTTTAAAAATTAAAACTAAAACGAGGTCAAATTTTAAAAATTAAAAGTAGTATCAACTATAAGATAAATACAAGCCAACTATTGTATACCTTATTTTTTTTCAATATATACATATATATAATATGGAAAGCTAATGTTTTCAGCTATTCTATTGGGCGCATTGTAATGTAGATAGTGATTTAAATTTAAACCCTTTTAATACATAAAAAAAAAAAAGGATAATGTCTAATGTCTTTCCCAGTTAGGATTAAACTAATTCAGGCGATAAAAATGCAATGAATATGAGCAGCAACTCAGGGGTTCAAATTCCCTTTCTATATAAGGCAAAGATATAATTTTACTCCTGATTTTTTTAGTAGTGTAATTTTACCGATGGTCTTCTTTTATGCAATTTTACCTCTAGAATTTGGGTGCAATTTTAGGCACCCAGCAAAAAAATCACGAGAAAAATTGCATAACTAAAAAGAACTAGGATAAAATTACACCTGAAAAATAAAATTAGAAATAACATTGCACCTTTAGCCTTGTGTGTGTGTGTGTATATATATATTTTAAAAAAAGGACCATATCTTTCTACTTTCTTGTGATGTAACCAGTTGTGACAGAAAAATATGGGTAAAAAATGGCAGCATAGATCCATATTTTCAAAGTTTGATAAGAAAAACTGTGATGCTAATTAGTATGATTCAAAAGCTGGACACTTCATGGCGAGCAAAGAAGAGGCCAGAAGGTGAACCATTTGGGAGCAAAGCTAATCTTACAACACTAGCAGCACCATCTTCCACAGATAAGATACCACTGTTTCTGTTAATGTCTGTTTTTACGAATCCAGGACAGACACAGTTAATACACATGTTTGGGTACTTTCTCGCCAGAATCCTTGTGTAAGAATTCATGGCTGCTTTTGAAACCATATAAGCAGACAGAAAAGTTGGCCATCCTTTGGCTTCCACTGTTCCTTCTTTGAAGTCTTTGACAAACTCTCTTACTACCTCATCTAGTCTCTCCTCTGTAAGATCATCAACACCATCAAGCACCCCTGTCGCCCACTTGTTCGGTATGTTCTGAAACAATGGCATTAACCAAATTTGATGTTGCTCTAGTGGTTATCCAAAATCACAATTGAGAATAGAAAGGAGATTTGAGAGGTTTGGGGAATTAATATAAAATGTATAGGAAAGTGTATTATTCACAAGTTTTGACCAATACAGCTCATTCTAAGTTTATTGCGAATCTACAAGGCTCACTCTGGTTTTAATAAAATAGAGAGGATATTTTGTATCAGTTTTGAAAATAGGGGGGAAAAGTCTGTAATTTCAGCAAAATTCAAAGAAAGTATATGCAATGTACCTTCAACAACCCTGCTTGGGAGGAAACATTAACAATCCTTGGAGAATTGGACAGCTGAAGAAGGGGAAGAAAAGCCTCCGTTGTTTCCTTAGCGCCATAGTAGTTTGTTTGCAGACATTTCTCAGCCAACTCATAAGTTTGAGTCAATGCCCTCCAATTGTAAGGTGGGCCCTCCCCCTGTACAATAATTAAAAACAAATCTTTTTTGGTGATTAATACAAATATACACGAATAACACAGTAGAGAAAACAAGCTCATTGACTGACCAACTCATCCAAATTTAATCCGCTGATCGCTGCATTGTTCACCTGCAAAACAATGATTCACATTCGTAAAAGGCAAAAAGGACAAACATTTTTTAAAAATTATTGAGCCCTGAAAATATTAGACCCCCGCCTAAGCCACAACAGATTGACCAACTAGTTTGTATCAACATCAGCAAGGTCAGATACAGGTCATTCATTCATTTCGCAGATAAATAATAAAGCAAACAGTGGCTTTAGTTTGACCTGCCAAGGGGCATTTCACGTCTAAAGTGGTTGAGTGTTTCAAAGCTTCCAAGGTTGGTAACTAACTAAAAGGGGAAAAAAGGGACACAAGGTGTTCTTAAATAGTTTTCAGTTCTTTAACACAACACACACACACACACACAATCTATTCAGTCTCCAATGCACAGTGTTCTTATCATCTCAAACACATCTTACACGAAAGCTTGCGATGCTCGATGTGGGAATAAAGCGCAAAGCGTCATTTTCTGTACTAAAGTCTAATTTAGTTATAAAGGATGGGGATGGCAGAGATCTCACGTTTGACCACCAGTCACAGGGTTAATCCAACCAGAAAAATGCCCGCTAACTTTTATTCAACAATTTCTACCAATTTAGAACGATGAAAACTTCATTTATTCTAAGCTTTCTCCAAAGAGATATAGAGAAGGTTGTTTGTAACAAAATATATTCCAGACGTTTTATTTTATTTTATTTTTTGGTGAAGAATGTCAATTTTCGAAGTAACTTTCTAAGAACATAAACGCAAAAACATAATCAAACAGTAAACTGTCGCTGTCTTTAAAGATTTCATATTAACCAACTGAAGTACAAGAAGCATTTGAAAGTAAGAAAACTCAATTCCAAGCAGTCCTTTTATCTGTGAAGAGTCATAACAAGCTATAATTACCGATTAATCTCGCTAGGAAAAAAAATATTAGGGAGATTTATTCAAGGAATTGATGCTCATGAAAATAGTTCAGTGCATGCAAGATTCCAATTCGTCAATTCCCTTCCACTGAACGAAAAGAAGAATAAAAAGAGCGTTGAGAATATTCGCCGCTATGGACATTTCATTCTTACCAGAATATCAAGTCTCCCAAATTGGGTTTTAACAAAATCCACAAGAGAAGCAATACTAGCGGTGTCCATCACATCAAGCTGATGAAAAATTACAAGGTGGGAGATGCCAAAGGCTTTCAATTTCTCAAGGGCTTCGAGGCCCCTCTTCTCATCTCTTGCTGTGAGAACCACCTTGACTCCATTGGAGGCCAACATTTTCACAGTCTCCAACCCGATCCCTCTGTTCGCTCCTGTAACAACACCATACCTGAAACCACAGCCAATGCTACCAAATCAACATATGTACGCAGTGAACAAAATGAAAGGATCTTATAAACATGCGAATAGATTTGTTCAAATAGGGAGGAAGACAAAGATGCGATAGTGGTAGTACCTTTCTTTAGGTTCCGCCATTGATGCAGAAACTGCGCAGGATGGAGGATTATAAGCGGAAGCCAAAATATATAATTATCGCAAACTAGATTCAAACTTTGACCTTTGGGAAGAGAGATACGTAGGAATACGTGAGACCCGTTTGATACTCAGCAGCTTGAGAAGGAAAACATCAAAGCAAAGGACAAAGAATCCATTGAAAGTGTGTGAGCTAGAAAGAAAGCCGAAGCGAGTCATTGATCATGATGATTCAGATTCAGAATCAAAGAGAGCCTTCCACGGCCTACTTTTGTCGTGATTATCATCATCCTTGTTTTATAGATTAAAAGTGATGACTCCGGCAAAAAAATAAAAATAAAAGTTGATGACATTATATTAGCAGTATTTTAGTAAGAAAACGATTGCTTATTCCTGTTGGCAAAAAAAACAAAATGTTATTTATAATTATATCTATTTGACAAGTAATGAATGTACTGGATATATATTTATATTTATAAATATTATTATTTTAAAATCAAAGCTAAGCTAATTCCTTCCTTGTCATAAAAATATTTTATTACGAGGGAAAAAAAACTGTTCTTCGAAACGGTTGATTGTCACCTGATTTTATTATAAAAATTTTATGATATATATTATTAATTTAAAATCAGTTTTAAATAAGTAATAGTTCTTTTCGCAAAATTTTTCTATTCATAAATACGAGAACCAAAATTTTGCTTATAGACATTAATCCAATTGCCAACATCACGTAAATTTTTACCTTATGTCGTGTTTCATAGGATTATATAATTTTTTTTAACAATTTGAATATAAAAATAATAACATTTTTTTTTTTGGCCGAAAAAAAATAATAACATTTTAGTGTTAAATTTATTGCGTAGATTTTCATTAAGTAAAATATTTTGAGATTGGTCAATAACATAATGCTCTTGGTCAGAGGGATTAGGAGGGAGCCCTTTATTTATTGCTTTTTGCTCTGCCCGACTCTTCTAGATGACGATACATTAAAACTGAATGGACAGGCAGGGCACGTGCAAAGAAAACTGATCAATTTATTGAGAGTCTTTTTCGCTGTCAAGCAACTTTTTTAGTCTTATAATTCTTTTATTAACTAAATAATACTGTTTCCTCCAAGCCAATGACTCATTATGCTTGGAAAAAAGGGAAAGTTTACAGAGCCTTCAAATGTTGACTTCTTTTTCATTTGAGTCACGCTGTACAGTTGGCCAAACAAACAAACTACTATTTTCTAATCCATTCAAAGTAAAACATTTGCACAAATTTTATAATTATATAGTGTTTAACTAACATTACACATACACTTGTTTAACTAAAATTACATGTACACTTCTAGAAGAAAGAATTAAAAAAAATTAGGGAAAACCATATTGAAGGTACCTATACTTTTTTTTAATTTTCAATTTGGTACCTATGTGTTTTTTTGTTCTTAACTAAATCTTTATTTTTCCTCTATTAACATCATTAATTCTTATGTAGAGACTAAAAATATCAATAGAACAAAGTTATAAAAGCTAATGTTGCTAAAAAGATAAAATTAAATATTTAATTAAAGGGAAAAAACACATAGGTACCAAATTAAAAATTGAGAGAAAGTATAGGTACCTTCAATATGGTTTTCCCAAAAAATTAATCTCACCGAGATTAGTTATATACAAAGGCTGACAATTCGTTGAGACAACAGAAATAAACTACGAAGACTGAAAACAAAAACAGGATTAACACATGAAAACTGGGGTATTATTTTCCTTTCGTTCAATTAGGCAAACAGCGGAAACAGAGCACCCGGGAAGAAGCAGTCTTTTGAGCAATTCTTCTTCTGGCTTATCTCATTTGTCATCCTTCTGTTTCATGTGATGAATCCCCCCATTCTTATTCGACCTTCCAATTTTCCTACATATTAAGCATTTAAGTTGATGTCACTTTATTTTATTAAATAGTTTAATGTCAAGTTTTCTACTTTCCAATGACGATTATTTGTTTTAATTTAAGTAATTTTGTATTATCCAAGATAAATGTGTATAAGATTGTCTCATAATGCGAAAGCGTAGAATGATTTTCGGGAGTGAATCTAAACCCACCGGTAATAATGCAATGCTAATAGAGATCCCATAGAGTTTAGTGTCATCAAGGATAGATGGGGGAACTAGTAATCTATCTCCAATATTATACACATCCATGGGAATTCGCCAAGATCAAATCAAGAACTACAACATTTTCACAGAAGCTTCCTAGTCCTGACTTAAAACATTATAAATCAATAACATAGAGGGCTTGATCGGAGCAACATTTTATGTGATCCCACTAGGCCTTCAAAAATATGTTGTGGAAAATTCAGGATGCTTATTTTTCACGAACAAGAGGGCTATATACAGGGTACCACATATTTTCTCTGACGTACTCCACGGTCTCTTCCTGCAACCAGTGCAGCAGCCGAGTGAGAAGCAGATGAATTCAGGTGAATCCAAGATAGCATTAGGTTGCGTTTAGGTGAGATAAATGAAACATTATTGGGGGGGGGGGGGGGGGAAGGAACTAGAACTTAATAATAGTACTTGAAAGAAAAAAGACTCTCCATGTCATAATTTCACCATGAACCTGATAACATGAACCTAAAAGCTCCCCTTATTCTTTTCCTGATAGAAAAATAACAAGATAAAATTGATTTTGTATATTTGTAATGTTCAAATGTCAGCTAGAAGCATTTCCCCCATCTTTGGATCTCTCAGGGACTTGAGTAATCGTAAACCCTTTAGAATATGGAACTAATCATGTTTGGGATTCATAATCCCCCCCCCCCCCACACAAAAAAAAAAAAAAAAAAAACAAGCGCTTTCCAGCAGACTTGAACCCCCAACGTTGTGAGCGTCTTTCAACAGGTTCAAGCATGTCCTACCAATTAAGTCAATCTGTTTGCAACAAATCTTGCACATGCAGTTCTACTGAAAGAATGCAACATATAGGGGATCGACATACCCCAAAAAAATTGTAATATATCTAATATCTTAAAGTTTTATGAGCTATAAGTATTCCATACTTTTGACATGAGCGAGAGTTCTTTGAACCCTATCTCACCGCGCCCTTCTGCCAGCCCTTCTGCAACTGCTTCCCGCAGAACAGCAGCTCCAACCTCTGCTGTAACATTTCGGATACTGTAGCATGCAAACTGGAGTTGGTTAACCGTCAAAGGCCATTCAATTAACTGTCCCACTTCATATAAAATCACCAAGATTTTCTTTTTTTGCTTTTATTTCTTTTGAAAGATATCAGGCAGACATCTATTTTAGTGTACAACATAATATAATATGATTATAACTCTCTATAACCATTTTATTAGGATATGGATGAAATTTTTTTTTTTTTAGTCAGGGATGGTCAGAACAAAACTAGAAGTTTATCGCCAAACTTGGCATGCAAATCCTAAAATATACTCACTCCTTGATGTATTTGGAAAATTTTTGAAATTCTAATTCTGATATTCGATAAAAGAGTGACAGGAAAAAAGAAAAGTCGAGAGAAAACAAATATCACAAAATAACAAAGCAGAAATGGAATATTACCTATTAATGGACGGATACAAGATTCCTTTTAGAACTTCTTCTTCTGTCATGTAGGAAGCAAGGCTGCAAGAATGGAAGCATGTCAGCAATTTATTATAAAGGAAGGTATTGAGCCAAATCAGACATCCCAGCAAAGAATGAAGAACTTAAATGATGCAAAATAATAAAACCAACGCAATCAAAATTTCACCATAACACTCACTGAAGAAAGTTCATTGAATATTAAAACTAGAGTAGAGCCTAGGTGAGGTGCATACAATAGCCAGTTCGAAGTTACCACAAAGAGCAGGACCCAAGAAAAGCTAGTGAGCGATTAAATCTATATACAAATTTTAAGGCAAGAGATAAAGAAAATCAAGTAAAATTATTAGAGAATACATACAAGGGCAAACTACTCAAGGTATAATGAAAGACCTCTGGAAATCTATCAAGCTAGGATTTAGAAAAATCAGGCACGAATTTTCTCAAACTTCCGGTAATGCTAGCTCGGAAAGCTTGGGGTTGAGAAAGACCAAGCATAAAAGTTAAAATCTTCTGCAGCCTACCATTCAGAGGCTGCCTGCAACATTCCATCAGTTATAAGACGAGCACCTGACAGAAGAGCTCCCAAACCAATCCTGAAATGAAAGGTGACCATTGAAACTACATCAATATATTCACAGATATATATGATTCATGAAAGAACTTGAGTCCACAAGACATACCCTGGGAAAAGATACATGTTGTTTGCTTGATTTACATGGCCTACTTTTCCATTAGCTGCACACGGATTTTATTCAGAGGATCAAGGTAATTATACTATTTATTGTACAAGCAAATCCAGCAGAAATAACTGTATATAGCCTTATAGCCTCATAGATAAGGAAAATCTGATTCAGAAAAGATGATTCGAGGTTCAAAGGTAATCAATCACTTAAACGAGATTTTACCAAGGTCTACATTTTGGAACGGACTTCCACTAGCAAAAACTATATTTTCTCCAGCATGTTTAAAAGCATCAGCAGCAGTGCACTCAGCTGTTCAAATGGTTAAAAACAAAGAGTCAGAATTAAAACACGGACACCATTAAGGAATTATGAGTGCTTGATAAGCCTTGTACAAACAAACCATTCATGGTGGGATTAGACATGGCAAAGATAGCAGGTTTTGTCGAAACAGATTCTCTCATTGCCTTAAGCACCTGAGTCAAATCTCAACCATTAAAATTAAGAAATTCAATTGTAGTAAAATGCATATTGCTGAACCATAAGCTGCCAATATAAAACACATTTCAAATATGTCTATTACTTTTACATTTTAACATACATCACAGGAAATTAAGGCACCATAGGAGTGATATTTTATTTCTAGAAGGAATTCACCTCCTCATTGAAGATACCACCAACCCCTGACAATCCGACAAGCACATGTGGCTTAACCTTCTTAACCTAAAGATCAGTAGGATCAGCCATTAAAATATGTACTCGAATGAGTATGCATTATCTTGTAAAATAACATAACTGCAGGTCTGCAACCAGGCATCTGAGATCTGAGTCTTCTCATTTAATCTAAATTTTCCAAATATTGTAAAGCGAAGCCAATAAAGTTTTTCCAGATGAATCCTTTAATATTTACCACTTCAATTATACTAGCACCCTCACTAAGCCCCCCTATGTCTCTTGGACTTTTAGCAAAAGGTGCAG